TGGTTTATTAATGCTGAGGAGATCCAACACCAAAGTTAATTTTTACAACGTCAAAGTTAATCTTGACAAAGTCAATATTTCCCTATATATACAGCAAGGAGCACTGACGATGATTCATTCGGAATCGAAATATGGCCTTATTTGCAGCATGAATTCGAAAAATAAGTTTATTTTGAATTTTAATAAACTAAACGTTCACCAAAAAACTTTAGTGAGAAAAATCGAAAAAACGAACTACAAATATATTAACGCCAAACATTCGGTAGAATTTATAGAATATTGTAAAAATTATGGTCTATTACCAGCATTTACTCGAAGTTCTGCGACCAACCGACGTAATCTAACAATGGAACAAGATCGCGAGCAGCGACTGCTCCATCTCTCTCGAGAATTAGAAGTTAAAAAGAAGGTAGTTCAAGACTTGTCGAATCAACTAACTAAATTGTTGAGTCAATGGGATCACTGTGATGTTGATTGCATTGTCAAGAATGAACTAAACTTATGCCGGAAAGAATTTATAAATGCATATATGCAATCATCAAAACTAAAACTTCATAAAAAACTGACCAACCTGATAACTAAAGGAAATAACAATATTATAAAAGATAGATTCATCAATCTTAGCCACCACATCCTTACAGACAAACAAAAAGTGTTCTTAAACCTGGGATTGAATTGCCATTATCTGTAAAAACCTAACAAAATTGAAAAAATCATTGAGATTGAAAAGTTAATGATATCTATAAGCGACGCTGAACGTCAAAGTAAATTAAGCGTCAACCCCTCTGTTGCCATTGAGCTTCAAGCTGAAGCCAAGAAAACACGAGGTAGTTTTCAAAGTAAGCTACTCACTGAGGAGATGAAGGATGCGGCGAAGCAACTTAGGGAGAATAAAGATATCGTAATAAGACGCGCAGATAAATCTGCACAATATGTCATTATCGACCGAGCCGATTACCATGAAAAACTCAATGATGTTCTCAATGATACAAAAAAGTTCCAAGTAATCAAAAAAGATCCCACTCCTCAACTAAAAACTAAACAAATAAGAAAGCACATCACCGATGACAAACTTCCATCACTTATAGGCGAATACTCTCCTGGCTACTTATATGGAAATATAAAAACGCATAAAAAGAATCATCCCACCAACACCAAAGTTAATTTTTACAACGTCAAAGTTAATCTTGACAAAGTCAATATTTCCCTATATATACAGCAAGGAGCACTGACGATGATTCATTCGAAATCGAAATATGGCCGTATTTGCAGGATGAATTCGAAAAATAAGTTTATTTTGAATTTTAATAAACTAAACGTTCACCAAAAAACTTTAGTGAGAAAAATCGAAAAAACGAACTACAAACATATTAACGCCAAACATTCGGTAGAATTTATAGAATATTGTAAAAATTATGGTCTATTACCAACATATATATATATATATATATATATATATATATATATATATATATATATATATATATATATATATATATACTCTGTCGCTACTCTGCTTTGTAGATCCCTTGTTTGTTCAAAGTGAATACTTAACTCTCATTTAATTAGTTTTACAATCTTCAACTTCGTATAACATAACAATTTTACGTGTATTTTACTATAAAATTTTAGGTGTGAACACAGAAAACTTGAAAATGATTTACGATCAACTGTTAAAAAAATTACAGACTTGTTGCTCAAACGTCAGTAACGTTTCTTTTCATGGTTTGTTTGAAGACGACTTCGTCTTTTTTACGTGCAATTAATATGATTTTGTAAAATAGGATTGTGTCGTTGACTTGTTGTTTGTGAGCATAATGTTACACTTCTGTAATTTCTGTTAAATGGTGTTTTTTGAGGAATTAAAATTAAAAGAAAGTTTAAACTAGTTATATTTTTTGGAACAAACTGTCAAATTAATATTTTACCCTGCACCTTGCGATTTAAACATAATTGTTCGATTTTTAATTTTTGAAAAACTCTTAAATTCAAATGTTTTACTTACTACCTATCGATGATGTAATAATAACAACAACTTCAGCAGCTACAATCTCTCATCAAAAAACTAATTCGCTTCAACTACCTACCTGCATCATATCCTACCGTCACTCAGATATTCAACACACTCGATTCAAGGCTGTTCAAGAAAATAGATAATAACAACTACGTCATCCATCCTCTACTACCACCAATCAAAACTACAACACATAACCTTCGTCAGCGCAAACATAACTAACAAGTCGTCGCCCAATCTACATACCAGGAAAAGACCTTCATCACAAGACACCTCAAACATATTAGCACTTAAAAAAACTTTATCATTACTGAACTAGTTTTTACTTATTGATCACCTCACTTCTATCGATCACCTCACTAACTCACTAAGTCATCATTTAGTCTATTAATAAGTCATCAAATATATTAATACTCATTAAAACTTTTTCACACACAGGCCTAGCCTTTATTTTTATCGATCACCTCACTAAGTCATCATCTAGTCTATCAACTTGCCGTTACTTCATTTTATATTCCATCGACAATTACTTTTCTTTTATTTCTCTTATTATTATTATTTATTTTATTCTAACATATTTTATTTTTCATGTTTTATCATTTCTCTTCCTCACTTTTTGTATTTATTTTCTCACTTATTTGTTTAATTTTGTTTTACTGCCTTGCATGTTGTTACAGTTTCTGCGTCTGTCAGATCCTGATTTTAAAGAAAAAAAAATTGTTCAAAAACGTGCAATCAGTAACAACACTTGGGAACATCTAGCAGTACTGGAAAACATTTTTTGAATAACTGAATTTCTCCGCTTCCATGCTTTTCATCACCTATTCATCTCAAACGATATAGAAAAAAATTTTCCACAGTAACGCTAAGAAAGTATGAAATAAATGATAATTGTGTTTTTCGATAGTTAAAAAAGTGTTACCAGTGAATTTAGGAAACAATATTGAAAGATTTAATTAAAGACGAGTGAACTTAGAAGGGAAAGAGAAAAGGTTAGATGCAGTATGTTTGTCAATCAAAGCGATTTTCCTCGTGACTTAGTGATATCACTAAAAATCACGTGAAAGTCTGTTTGGAAATTAAGTTCTTTGAAATGGAATGAAATATTGCTTCTGCTAATATTAATGGAATAAAATAATTGAATGCTGTTTTATTTCACCGAGACTCATCCACTTGAATTTTCCTTAAAATCTGTTAGAGCAATGCCGGCCGCGTCCATTTGAAAATTTTCAGTTTGTTAATCGAGTTTGAACCATGGATATAATGGATATGGCATAATAATTACCTGCCTAATAATTTTTCTTAGTTCTATGGAATTAAACGCGTAAACTTTAAACATTTTTTCGTAGTAATTGACATTTTATTGATTTTTTACGATCAAACGTCTTACTATCGTATTTTATTGTTAAACTTTAGACGATTTTTTTAATTAAATGTCAATAAGTTGACAAAAAAAGCAACAAGGAAGATAACCGCTAAACAACCGGCTAAAAACTGATTGTTTATTTTAACTTAAATTCGCTTTTCAACATATATTTGTTAGATTGATCGTGATGTTTTAAATATATATATATATATATATAAACAATGTATATATATATATATTTACATATATTTATTTATATATATATATATATATATATATATAACGCGTCTGCCATATCCATATATATATCCATGGTTTGAACAGTGAAATTTATTGGAGTCCCAGCAAGTTTTAAGTAGTAACTAGTAAATCTAAGAAGTTTAAGAATTCAATTTGTGTGCATCTGGAAAAGATGAAACTGAATTTGTTGCAACATACGAGACATTATTGTAAAAGGAAGAAAATAAAAGGCGTAAAAAGGGTTCCATGTAGAAAACAAAATAATGATTTTAAATAGTAATAAATAAAAATATTGGTTAATCAATGAAAAACTAAATAAATCATGGCATGTTCAAAAAAGAAAAAAAAGTTAAACAAATGAAGAATGATTATTGGATTATTATTATCCTAGTCGTTTGTGTTATTTATCGGCTGTTAGACGTGACTTAGACTTGTTAGACTTGAAAATTTTTAAATTAATACTTTTTGTTTAAGGAACCAAAAAACCAACTTAGGTATATATAAAAATCATTGTTTGGTTGTTACAAAATTTCACATATTTAAGATTTCTAGCTTAACTTCTGTGTTATTATCCATTTCAAATTGGGTTTTCAGAAAAAGTTGTCTAGTAATACTGATGTTTTAGCAATAAGTTTGTATTTTTACTTTTTAGAAACAATTATTTCTTTTTAGGTAAAAAATTTATATATTTTCTAATTTTTATTTATGGTTCGGTTGATTCAACCCAAGTTCATCAGTTAGGCGTATTAGATTTTATTGTTTTAAAGTACATTTTATATGTCTACAAGGTTCTGAAATCTGGTGCAGCTTTATGCTAAATGCTAAGATGAAAATTAAGACAAATTTTAAAGTGTGTACAATTTTAAGAGGGACAGGGGTGGCAAACAAGGATCAGGCACCAAACGCCATCTTCGCTGGCTAGGCCACCGAGTCTTATTTTTCTGAATGCCACATTTTTAATACAAAATTTGTTTGCTGATACTGATCAGAGCGAGGACTTTATTATTTTGAAATATTTATTGTCACAAATGTATAATTTAGTTAGCATGATCAATAATGCTTGCCAAAAAAAACTCTTCTAGTTTTTAATGTTTGAATTTCATAGAATGGCTATCAAAGACCTTTTAATGCAAAACTAAAATATACAGTTTATATTTCGTCAGTTGAATACGTGAACGATCATATGCAGACGAATTGAGTGAAGAGCATTCTCGAATATGTGGACGACTTGACGAACATGTCATCCACTTTTTTGATCTTTGAGACGATGTGTCCATCGTTCGGTGTGAGATTATGCATGAAGTACTGCGTGAATCCCTGCAGCCGTTTCAATCCTGGGCAGTTGCTGGCCTCACAAACGTGGTTTCGCAGCTGTTCTGCTCTGATGGATGATGTTGTCTGACGTTTCCACTTTGTCCTGGCAATGGTAATTTTATTAATCTGAAGCAGAAATAATTAAACATGTAATGTTCATAACAAAGTTGTTAAATATTTTAAAAATAGTGTAGAACGGACAAGAGCAGACATGTTTACAAGTCGTTCCGCAATAGATGTCGATTTATATGTTGTCACGAAGGAAGAATAAACAAACAGATGTGTAAAATTTACTCCTGCAGAAAAAGTTTGAAAAACTTTTATAATAATTATATTTTAATTAAAATTCAATGAATTTAACTCAAATTAAAATTCAATGGTGAGAAACGGGTAGCCACGATTTAGATTTGGGGGCTGCTGCCAAAAATTCGTTTTCAACATAATAAAGGGCCTGATTTAGAGGTCAGACGTGTTAACGTCCTGAGGGACGGAGTAATGGCTCAGCAGTTAAGATCGCCTGCTGCTGTTTCGTGGTGTGTGAGTTCAAAAATAACAAAAAGATCCCCGCCTATCACACATTTCGTGAGTGCTGAGTCGTTTAGCATGTGTTCCTACTTCCCAGACGATGTGTGTGTGTTGCTGATTCCTCTGAACATGGGAAGAGTGTGAAAGACCTTTTTTACCCTTTTTTTAATAAAAAGGAGCCTCCTAATACAAATCCAAAAACATAAAATTTACAACTTTAACTTTCAAAATATTTTGCATTCTCCCCGTCAATAGTACAACAATCAAAAGCAGTCATCCCACTTGTAAACGCAGTAAAGGGGCAGAGTCAATGAAGTTAAATAATTGGTTTAATAAAAAATCGTTGTAAAAAATGCGATTAGAGCCATAAAGATATCATCAACTTTTTAATAACTTTTTTAAACAAGATTTGACGAAAAACTTGCTTCTTGGGGCTTCCACACTTTTAAATCATTCTCCATAAAACAATAGAAATGTAAGGAAAATAATTTAAAACTTTAAAGGCTACAAAAACTGGACAAAATTGTAGCTTTGGGCTTAATTGTTTCGAAACATTATAACTTACGACTTAAATACACATGGTGATTAGAAAACAAACATATAGTATTGAAATGTTATTAATTAAAACAGCTTGCTGAAAAGTTTTAAAATTTTCAATGTAAGAAAAGCTTTTTGACCGGAACAAGGTTTTGGGTTGCTGTGGAAGAGCTTTTTTTATATAAATCTATTCGTTTGTCCTTTATTAAAACAATCTTTCCTTTTTGGCATTCATTAAACCTAATGTTTTCAAATATCTTTCAGTAGGCCTAATCTTATCTTCCTATATAACTGGACATGCAATGGTACCTTTGCTTAGTGATTTAAAATTGTTAGCTCGACTGTTGTTGAAGAAATCTCTGGAATGAGCGTGTCTTGTGCTGTGTTTACGTTTCATAGAAACCCCATTAATAGTTGTTGGAAGATAATTCATTGGTCCTGGTCTGGTGTATTTTTAAATTTTGAAAATCAGCATCATAGTCCTAATTAATTGTGTTGTTTAATCTTGAATAAAATTTGTTCATTTTTAAATACTTTTCATTGAAGATAATTGTGTATCATTTATATTTTAACGTTATCTCTATCTCCAGTTTGGTCTGATATAAATCTCTGCTGCTGGTGTTGAGGCTGTTGACTCCACAGGTACAAGTATTATCGAATGTCGATTCAATTTTAGGTTTTACTTCGTATTTTAATTACAAACATTGTAATTAATATATTATATTCTATTATAACAAGTGATTTATATTTAAATTAAATGTAATTAATCTAGTCAAATGGGAACAGAGGTCATCACAATTTATATTTCATCTTCGTAACAAAATAAATTAAATTGTTAGCTTGAATTTGTAAATAATATTAATAATAAATTAATACTAAAATAATAACAATACATTTTACCAGTTTTTATTTTTCCACTAGATAAAATTTGTTCTAATGGGTTTTTTGCTCGGTGAGCTTTTGTCCTGTGGGATTTTTGTATGAGAGATTTTGTCCTGGGAAATTTTTAGTTTGAGGGGTTTTGTTCGGGAGGTGTTTTTGTCCTAGAACCAAACATTGCATTCTTTTTGAGCGTCGTGTTCGTTTAAGAGAGGAAGATTGTATAGTGCCAAAAATTCAATAAAAAATAACTTAAACTTTTTGGCTGGCAGAAATGCTTATATGAAAAAAATAGCATCAAATTTTAAATTGCTCAACGTCAAAAGGCCGAATAAACAAAACATGAAAAATCAATTCATTAGCCCGCCTAACTAAAGATCTACACTAACCTCCTATTTTGGTACCAAGTTTTGATCTGAGTTTCGGTGAGGTTCAAACCGTCAGCAACGTCTGCCCTTTCGGCCACACTCAAATATTTTTGACAATTGAACTTCTTCTCGAGAAATTGCAATTGAGCGTGCGTGAAGGCGGTTCGCTTTCGTCTGTTTCTTTTGAGTTGATTGTCCGACGGGACGGAGAGATTGTCCTCCTCGTACTCGCCAGCCAGTGATGATGAGTCGATCCCCGCCTCATTGTAATCTACTTTCAGTTTGGTTTATTATTTTCAATTTAGTTATCTTCCTTTTTATTCTCAACTTGTTTGATTATTTTTTTTTACTAACGAGTGGAAAATTTAATTTAAAAATTTTCAATTTGTTTACATAGGATTTATCTTAACTTTTTTTCTATTTTTTTGATATTTTTTCATAAAAGAACGCAATAACTTATGAAGTGTTCAGCGAAAAATAGCTAACTTGGATGTCGATCGGTGAAAGTGTTGGTCGAGTTTTCTGGAAAATGATGATACTCCAGAATATCCTTGATCAAAAATGAAGAAATTTTATTCATTTCGATTTATTATGCACATTGGTGATGGTTCATCATTCCTCACTTTTATGCATTAAGATGGCGAGGTGAGAATGGGGTGGAGACAAGGGAACGTCTCGTCGGCATTGATATGTTACCATGCGCGCACATGCATGACACATGCTACAATATATGCTAAATTGATTATGCATATAAAAATACATAGTCACACTCACGCACACAAACGCAGACAAACACACACACATATATATATAATTTTGCTTATATGCAATAAAGTTTTTCAAAGGCGGAGTGAACAAATGTCAATCATTTGAGACAGATAAATGTCAATAATCGTCATTGGTGTTTGCAAAGTTTGTGTTGTTGCGGCTGTCTCGACACATCCATACATTAATCCGTCCGTTAAACTTGTGGTACATCAATACATTAAATTTTTAAACTTGTGATACACGTCGGCAGTAGAATTTTTTTTTTAATTTTTAATGACCATTTTAATTATTTTTCCAAAAATTCCCCAGTGTTACACTGTTACATTGTCGAAAGTTCAATAAATACAAACATGCAAATTAATGAAAGCCGCGCCAGAAACACCAATTTGTTGCCAATTATTATTTCTTTTTACATAAACAGCATGGAATGATGTAGGTGATTCAGCAGCGGCATAGAAGAATAAGAAGATGAGGATTAAATGATGAAGACATTACATGAAGCAGAGATGTCAAGCAGATGACTGGCGGCTATGAAAATTAGCGTTGATGAAGTTTATTGAAGAGGTGGGATTGTTCTTAAGCATCAAATCAGCTGGAAATCGTCGAACAAACAACATCAATTATTCCGCTCGACGGCTAACGAGCGAATTATTTCTACCATTGTTATCGCCAATAAAATTTTCTGGCTTCAAACATTTCTATCAACAAGACGTTTTTTTGTTGCACAAACAAGAAATTATTTTCTTTATTTGCAACAATTATGTATCTACTGCTACAATCTTTTTCACAAAATAAATTATTTTAAGCAAACGCATTGTGCACGATGTGTCGCGTGTAGTAGCTTCTGCCACGTCATCTACAATGAAATGACAATTGATCTGCACATTTGCGATACCTTTTAATCATTTGGTGGGCATAAAGAAAAATTACACCTAGAGATTATCATACGCGTGTGATGCAGTTCTTGCGCGTGCACGCGTTATGCCTTTGTACGTCGTGTGGTGTGGCTCGAAAGTTTAATTACATGTATCGAATATCATGTAAGCAGCTGGGTGTTTAAGAGAGCTGCGTCATTAACAATGGTAAAAAGAAAGCAAGAGAAAATGTTCTGCGTTGAAAATGTCAACTTGAGTAATCACAGGAACTACAACCAAAAATACACTTAGCTTTATTGATTGTGATTGTGTACGGTTCATTTTACCAAAATTGAAGTTAACTGGAATCTATCTTCGTTCGAAAATATGTCAAGCAAGCAAGACGTAATGACCTAGCAACTCCATCAAAAGGATACAAAACGGTGAAAAATACTTGTCAATGTAACCTAACCCTAACCTAACCATCCTCGATCTGAAAGTAGGCTGCATCATGAACATGTTTTCTCCAGTTAATTCTGTCCTGCGTCTTTTTCGGCAACTTTTCCATTTTAAAATCAGTCTAATCATTTATGTCTTCTTCTTCGCTTTGATCTGGACAGAGTTTCTTGTATATCTTTTTCCATGCATTTATTTTCTGGAAATGTGACCAATGTAATTTTATCACAATAACAACGTGACCCGATATAAGCTGACAAGGTAATCCATCATCGCCACTTTTTTCAATCATTGAGACAACACATGATATCGGTAATAGATTGCATATCAACAAAAACAAAAAAGTGATTTTGAAGACGAAGTCACACACACACACACACACACACACACACACACACACACACACACACACACACACACACACACACACCACACAGTTGAAAATAAAAGAAACACTTTTTTTTGTACAGCTGTATTCGTACGAAAATTTATTAAAAAGTTTATGAAGAAGTCGAATAGAGCGCCACAGAAATTTGTTGGATATCAGCTGAATATGGTAAGAAACAAAATTATAACAAAAATAACTCGTAAAACAAAATCCTATGTAAGAAAAAGTGAAGTACGAAAATTGAGATTCGTTGGACACATTTGCAGGATGTTCTAATGAGAAAGAGAAAAACAGGAAAAGAAAAGAGACCTGTCATGAAATAGATGGATGACATTAGAGTGGAGAGGTTGGAATTGAATAAAATTTGCCAGATAGGAAAGGATTCTACGACGTGTGACGTGTATTTCGATCTCGCTTCTAGGTAGGCTACATTTTAGAAACAAAAAATTGACTCGATGCACAAGTAAAGAAACTTTTGAATCGATTTTATTCAATAGGGTAAACTAAAATATTTCTCAACTATATAAAACTTCAATTATTGAACCATGTAGGTAAATCATTGTTGCATATATCCTTCAACGTTGTTGGGAAGGTTTCTTGGCTGCCAGATTTTAATTTGCTATCATCAAAATTATCCAACGCATTTTTGAACGAGATGTCAGGAAACTTGAATGAACTATCACTCTGAATTTCGATAAAAAGTAAAAATTTTCATCAAGAAATAAAAATGTATATTAAAGCTCTTATAAGAAATACTAAAAAACATTTATTTTAAAAAATGAAAAAATTACTATAAAACAATAAATTAAGAATTTTCCAAAGATTATAGGTTTTTAATTAATCTTAACAAATTTCTACAGAAAAGCATAAAATTTAAAAAAATGAAAATAAATATACGAACTAATTGAACGAAGGCAATCCGTCGATCGACGGCTGGTTGAATGCTGTAGCCGAACATCGGATGTTTCCTTGATTCCCCTGCAACAAAATTTCATTGACAGCTTTCTACATTTCATTCATTGATCAACCTTCAATTATAACCAACAAACTAATTCAACCAACAAACCGATCAGTCAGCAAATTAACTAATAAAACAAATCATTAGAACTCAATGATGTATAGGTGCTAATGGACAGGAAATAAGAACAGCCATGTAACCTTTTAAAAGCTTTGTAGTTACAGTGAGTACTTTAACTTTGTATATTCTTTCTAAATAATTTTTAACATCGTGTTCGGTCATTCTGCATTGGTAGATATGAAATACTCAATCAACTCATTATGCCAACTAGACTAATGGATCTATGGATGAAGGTGAAACTTACCGTATATGAGCTTCGATAAACTAATGAATGGATGAAGATGAAACTTACTGTAAATGAACTTCAAAAGATTGAGTGTCAGAAGGTAAATCCTTGTCCCATTTCAATAATTTCATCCAAAAAAGAGGTAAATAAATTCTCAACTGGGGATTTCCTTTGTAATACAATGGATAGCGAGGTATTTGTCTTTGCCATAATGGTCTGCGATTGGAATTGAAATTAAAATTCTGTTAATTCTTACATTTTAACTGTAATAGTTAAATTTTGGAAATATTATGTAACTTATTTCGAACAATAAATCTAAAGTTGGACATGTGTAGAGAAAACATAAAAAAGACAATATTACAGATTTTTAACATTCAATTTTTAATAAACACTTGAAATAAAAATTGTTCAGACTGCTAATTCAAGAGTATTTAAAAAAAATTTCAAATTAATTTTAAAAACTAAAAATTCTTTGAAAATTAATTATGGTTCTATGTTTCAGTTACGCTCACAGTTCGTTCACATTTTGATTGTGGTTTTTTGATGATAATATGTTGTGGCTTTGTACGACATTTTTAATTTATAAATAATTTTGCGGTTTGTGAATCAATGTTAAATGTCTTTCTACAGTAAATCTTGTTAAAAAAAGTATGCTAAAATTGTCTAGCACAAGTCAGATACAGTAGTCAAACTAGCTCTTGAATCAAAAGTTGAAAGTTTATTCACATTTTCATTTCCCGCTGAACTTACTGTCACTGCCATGATTTTATTTTAGTGCTAACTCCTAAAAAATCGTCACTGATTTAATATTAAATTAAAACATGAAAACCCCTAAAATTTAATATTTTTTGCTACAAACTGCTAAATAATTCTTATGAGGTAATGATATTAGTTTAAAACGAGCCTCAACTCTCAACAGATCATCAATCAATCAATCTTCGTTTTGCGTCCAGAAACCCGGTTTCCCGAGGTAGGACGTTGTTTTCTTTGCCATCAACTTTTTGCGCCAAATTAGACGATCAGTTGTATCCAATTCATTTAAATTTAGAGCTTTCATGTCTTGCTCGATTGTTTGCCACCAGGACTTCTTTGGACGGCCTTTGGGACGTGTGCCAGGTACTTCAACATCTGTAAGAGAAGTTATGGCACTGTTTTCACTTCGTTTGACATGACCAAACCACCGCAGACGGTGTTGCCGGCATTCGTCCTTTATATCATCTAAACCAGCACGACGCAGGATTTCGGTAGATTTGATGTGGTCTTTCAGACTAATTCGTTGCATCCATCGGAGCATTTTCATATCGTTTCGGTGAAGTTGTTGTTCCAGTTTGGTTGTCATTGGCCATGTTTCTGCAACATATAACAACACTGGACTGTCAGAGTTTTAGCTGCGGCCGGGAAATTAACATACAAAGGGTATGAATACATTGGGATAGTAGTGATAGACGAAGGGCAATGAAGCAAGTAAAAATAGCAACCAATCCGCTGGGAGTATAGGGATATTGAAATAAAATAGACCCGGGAAGTTAGTCGGTCGTAGTGAGTGGTAGTTGGAAGAACTCTCGAAGTTACGCTGGTAGTTTGTGCAGTTAGTGGACGCTTTTACGTTGGTGGTTGTTACAGTTAGTGGAAGCAGTTACGTCGGTGGTTGGTTGGTACAGTCGGTGGAAGCAGTTACGTCGGTGGTTGGTACAGTCGGTGGAAGCAGTTACGTCGGTGGTCGGTACAGTTAGCAGAGGCAGTTACGTCGGTGGTTGGTACAGTTGGCGGAAGCAGTTGCATCGGTGGTTGGTACAGTCGGTAAAGCGGTTACGTTGGTGGTTATTAATTTTCATAGTAGTCAGGGCAAACCCTGATAACGAAACGACACGTCAGTTTAGTAAACGTGAGTTGACAACGCGTTCGACAACCTACCCGTCACTTCAGCAGGCGTGAAGCGACATTACGTTCTACAAACGACACGTCAGTTCAGCATCGTGAATTGACGATACATTCAACAAGCTACACGCCAATTCAGCAAACGTGAATTGACAGTGTGCTCAACAAACGACACGGCATTCAGCAGCGGTGAAGTGACAACACGTCGGCAGTCAACGAGGCCTCCGCCAGAAGCTCCGCAGACAACGTGACAGCCGGTGTCCACATTCACAGTCATTGCCACATTTGATGAAAGTTTATGATTTATATCGTTGGGAACTGTTGTTGAACCCTTATATTTGGTGTCAGAAGTGGGATATCTGTCAAAGGAAGTACGAAAGTACGACAGATATCAACAGCTGTGAAGCGAAGTTCCCCAGCGGTAAGTATTAAAAGTAAACCAAATTCTAATAATTATTAATTTTGAACGTGGGTGTGACGAAAGTGAATCGCGATAATAAAAGTAAACAAAAATCTAATAATTATTAATTTTTAACGTGGGTGTGACGAAAGTGAATCGCGATAACAAAAGCAAACAAAATTTAAATATTTTTGAAAGTTGGTAGAAAGTCGCTAAATCATTTCAGAATGGACCGGTCGACGAGGTCAAAAAAATCAAACAGAAAGAAGAGGGTTAATAAGACCCAGTGCAGGCACTGCAGATGAAAATAATAGAAGAAGACGACAAAATAAACAATAGTAATGGTGGGTTAGTAATAGAATCGGAGGAGGTCAGTGATGAGGATGGTGAAGAAGATTTTGGTAAGTTACGAACCTCAAGATAATCAGAATGTGAACGAGATAGATGAGTACATTGGGGGTATATCACACTTGTCTGCTGAACGAAAGGTTCAGGTGAAGGAGCTGGTAAGGAGATTTCATCAGATATTTGCGACCAAGGTGGGGCTGTATACAGCGGTTCAACACAGAATCAGGGTAAGTTCCGAATTAAAACCCAAGCGAATGTAGGCATATATTGATGATGTAGCAGTTTTCTCTCAGACTTGGGACGAGCACATACAGCATCTACAGATTTTTTTTGCGGTAGTGAACAAATCAGGGTTGACGTTTGATATAAAAAAATGTCGAATTGCCGAAGAGAAGATACCATTCTTAGGACATGTGGTGGGATCAGGAAAAATTGACATAGATCCAACGAAGTTACAAAAGCTGGACAATATCCGATCGCCTACTACGAAGAGGGAGGTACGAAAGATTCTGGGATTTTTTTAACTATTTCCAGAGTTTTATACCACAGCTCGCCAAAAGACTTTCCAGCATTACTGATTTGACTAAAAGCCGAGCAGGTAGTTCGATACGATGGACGGTAGAACATCAAAAGAGCCTGGACGAAGTTACACAACAATTAAGGAACGCCACCAGCTTATACGCTATCGATTACACACGTCCCTTTGGTCTGATTACTGATGCTAGCGATCATACTATTGGTTGTTGCCTAGTACAACAAGATGAGATGGCAAAAGAAAGACCTGTTGCGTTCGCAAGCAGGAAATTATCAGATGTACAAAGACGTTGGTCAACCATAGAGAAGGAGGCATATGCCATACTTTGGGCAATACAAAAATTCCGAAACTGGATTTGTTTGTCACCAATCTATGTTTATACGGATCATAATCCGTTGACATATTTGACAGAAACTGCTCCAAAAAGTTCGAAATTGATGAGATGGGTGTTAGCTTTGCAGGAGTATGATCTACATATCAAATACCGGGCGGGAAGTTAAAACATCGCGGATATACTCACAAGGATGATAATGACCGAAGAGGTGGCTGATGAAGAATGTCAGTAGGATGGGAGTGAATATTCCACCTCGTAAAATATTCATATTTTTGGGGGAGAGGTATGTCAGGGTTTTAGCTGCGACCGGGAAATTAACATACAAAGGGTATGAATTCATTGGGATAGTAGTGATAGACGAATGGCAATGAAGCAAGTAAAAATAGCAACCAATCCGCTGGGAGTACAGGGATATTGAAATAAAATAGACCCGGGAAGTTAGTCGGTCGTAGTGAGTGGTAGTTGGAAGAACTCTCGAAGTTACGCTGGTAGTTCGTGCAGTTAGTGGACGCTTTTACGTCGGTGGTTGTTACAGTTAGTGGAAGCAGTTACGTCGGTGGTTGGTTGGTACAGTCGGTGGAAGCAGTTACGTCGGTGGTCGGTACAGTTAGCGGAAGCACTTACGTCGGTGGTTGGTACAGTTGGCGGAAGCAGTTACGTCGGTGGTTGGAACAGTCGGTAAAGCGGTTACGTTGGTGGTTATTAATTTTCATAGTAGTCAGGGCAAACCCTGATAACGAAACGACACGTCAGTTTAGTAAACGTGAGTTGACAACGCGTTCGACAACCTACCCGTCACTTCAGCAGGCGTGAAGCGACATTACGTTCTACAAACGACACGTCAGTTCAGCAACGTGAATTGACGATACATTCAACAAGCTACATGCCAATTCAGCAAACGTGAATTGACAGTGTGCTCAACAAACGACACGGCATTCAGCAGCGGTGAAGTGACAACACGTCGGCAGTCAACGAGGCCTCCGCCAGAAGCTCCGCAGACAACGTGACAGCCGGTGTCCACATTCACAGTCATTGCCACATTTGATGAAAGTTTATAATTTATATCGTTGGGAACTGTTGTTGAACCCTTACACTGGACGTATCACAGATTTATAAAGTCTTGATCGTAGTTGTAGTGGGATTCACGCCGCATCAATATAGAGGCAAAAAGGTGCCATTTATTCCAGGCTGCACGTATGCGTGCTCGAACAGCAGCTTCAGCTATACCAGTAAAATCCGGAACATCCCCTAGATATTGAAACGATGTGACTTTCTTTACTTTAATGGCTTCAAAAAAAGTGCTATTTCGAATTTGTTGTTGTGGATTGATGCAAGCAGGACAAACAAAATTGGACACTTTAGATAAATTACCAATTATTTTTGAACAACGTTTGTGACACCACTGGTTACACTGCTGACACTTGCTTGAATTGTTAACTACGCCAGCTTTACAAACCGAACAGGACCATCGTCCAGTAGCTGTGAATTGGATGGGTTCACCAGCGTTCATTTATTTGGTTTTGCTGATGTTGACTTTGAATCTATGATCGGCCAGTCTGGTGTTCCAATCTTCAAACATCTGTGCTGCATTTTGCTCAGACGTGGCTGTTAAAACAATATCATCAGCATACATTAGATTCCAAATGTCACCAGTGCGTATCGGCTTTTAATTTCTTCCATCACAGTTATAAATAACAGTGGACTGAGAATCGAGCCTCGGTGAACTCCAACGCCGATGTCAAATGCATCTGTGTTTCTAACCGTTGTGCTGACGAGAGTCTTAGTATTCGTATACATTTCCATCACAAGTCGAACAAGATATTCTAGACTCTAAATGATTGCTTCACGGGGAACTCGATCAAATGCTTTTTCAAGGTCTACAAAAATGTGTGATAGTTGTTGATGCTTTGCGAGGTACTTCTCTTGCAGTTGCCGAAGGATGTGAATTGCATCAATTGTTGATTTCCCTGCTAGGAAACCAAATTGATAATTTCTGATTGTGATGCACGACGTTAATCTTCTCTCAATATATATATATATATATATATATATATATATATATTTATAAAATATTTTATTTGGACCTAAAATTAGAACTAATATTGTTTTCCGTGTTATGTATTTAGACAATTATGCTATAAAACGGGTTAATTCAGTGAAATTCCTNGGCGTCGTTATTACTTCGAATTTGTCATGATTTGACCATATTAAACATATTTCATGTAAATTATCGAAAAACCTAGGTATTATATATCGTTTAAGGTTTAAATTTCCAAGTTTCATCTTATTGACTTTATATAACTCTCTCGTGCTACCTTATTTAACTTATTGTATTTCAGTTTGGGGTTTAGCCCCTAAATCTCATCTTAAAACTTTAACTTTAGTTCAAAATTTTTTTCTAGGGATATTATTCAAATTAAAAAAAATTGATCATATAAGTCATTGTTATCAATTGGCTAATATTTATAACATATCTCAGTTGTACATTATTTATTTGCTTATTTTCTTTTTTAAAATATATAGATTAAACTATTGTGCGACTCTCTACAGTCAAGTTATATTATTTAAAAATCCTTAAAAGGATTATAATACTTATAATACTTAATATAATTATACGTTATAATCTTGATCTTTATCTCTTTAAACCAAGGTCAAATTTTTTTCTTAACTCAGTCTTATCTTCTTCTATGCGTTTATGGGATACTTTAGCTGTGTATGTAAAGGACTCACCCTCTCTTGGATTATTCAAAACTGCTATTCACTATCTTATCTTATCTGGTCATTTCACACATGATTGACAGTATTTACTCTTTGTATTTATTCATTGTTTTTTACTTTTAAAATAATTAATTAATAATCTCTTGTATTTCAGTTCAACTGTATGTTTTCATATGTATATGAGCATTTACTTTAGTATATGCATGTTTTGTTTTTGGCTTTGTTTCGTTACTTTATTTTCATTTTATTTAGAAGTATCTTGTTTTCAATTGATCTGGGTGGACTACAAGCGCGAGCTTCGGGTCTCCTAGTGAATGACATATGTTTTTCGCATGTGTTTGTTTGCTAAATAAAAGGATTATTGAATTGAATATATATATATATATACATATATATATATATATATATATATATATATATATATATATATATATGATGAATATGACGAATACTTCTGGCGAAATGAATTTTGATAAAAACAGTTTCATTAAATTTTCATGATGAACTTGGATAATTCTATTTTCAATAAATTGAACAATTACTAGAAAATTCTAATAAGGAAAAACTTTAAATTGATTACTGCCAATAATTCGGTAGAATTCATAATTCATACAATACTGTATAAAATATGGGCTCCTTCCAACACACAACAGACACACACACACACACACACAACATACAGGGTGAGTCAACTTGAATCTACAAATATGTGCTGGTTCAATTTCCGACCTGCTCCCTGCTCCCGGAAATTCCCACCCTTTATATACTCACATACATATGGATTCAAGTTGACTCACTATTTCCTTTATTCAGCAGAGTAACAGTACATCTCTATTGACCAAAATGTGAAATGTGTTTCTGTGAATCACTTAAAAACACCTTAGTTTGCAATACCATCTAATGAGATAGTAATTGCACTAAGTTGGTGTTTAAACTCTGGCTACTAATGAGTCCCATAAAGAACCAAACGCGCTTATATTAGAACGAGTTAGGTGTTCAGAGTAATGCACCTGTGGTTGTGGTGAGAGATGATGTACTTTATGTACTCATACCGATCAACCGTACTTGCGTGAGCAGGTCAGAAATTCTCACCATATATATATATATAAATAAATATATAAATAAATATATATATATATTTTTTTTCTTCGCATTCTGTTTAAATTAAATAGTGCGGTCGGTTAATGTCTTCACATAATATAAATATTTCACTTCCGGACCCCAAGATATCCTTTGGTATATAGATTAATTATGTTATATAATGTTAAAAAAAAGCGGGACACAAGTTATTTGAACATTGTAAATTGTTTATTTCAACCGCAAAAAATCACCGATTTAAGTAACTGAGTAGTAACATTCATTATCTTTGATTTGCAAATTGTAACCGTTGTTTCCATGGTTACGAAGTTATTGACATTTTATATTCGCCGAAAAATTTTCAATTTCGCAAACAAACTTTTTAAATTCGTTGACAAATTTAATTATTACTTAAAAATATCAAAAATTAAAATATTATAAATAAAAATATTGTGAAAATTCGAGCTGAAGTAAATGAAATTAACATGAAAATAAAGTAAATGTGTGCTTCAATCTGTTTACTTTACTACAGACTTACATTGTCACTGCTAAGCATTTTGTCTTTAATTTTTTAGTTTTTTACGAGTAAATTGATAACAAACTGAACATAAAAATTAAAAAAAATCTGAGTTTTTATGTAAGTCGGTAATTTTTTTAAAACAATTTATTTATTACTAATATTTATTTAATAATGATAACTATTATTATTGACTTAACTATTATAAATAATTAGCAACAACTGTAAAAACTAACAACATTACTTACCTTGTAATAAATATTTAATAATGATATTATTAGTTA